AAGAAGCAGTATACCCGCTGTAAGTATTTTATGGTCGCATTAGGAAATTAAAGTTTCAGGATTGATACAATTATTAATTCTTCCGCAGTCAAACCATCGTACTTGTCTTCTATTTCTTGTGTTTATCAACAATGTTTCTCATACGGCCCATTGTTAGCGCCATTACAGATGTACGTGGAAAAGCGCCCATTTATGCGGCCCTTTATTTCCTGCCGCTTTTGACATCGATACACGCGCTTGCTTGCGGGCTTATTTGTAAATATTTACAATTGTATATTGTGTAAATGACTATCCCGGTGATATTTCCTTTTGCAGATTGGTTTTTCCCATATTTGAGTATTGGGATCTCTATGATAACAAATGCGATACATTATTCGGTCAAGTTAGACCAGTCCTTTAAGGCCTTGATACGCTCGTCGTTACTAGAAGTAAAAAATTTTGTTATCATTTGTAAGTTCACACTAAAATCAAAGATATATTTTATAATAATGGTCAATTGAAAAACCTAAATTTTGCTAATTTTAGCTGTACATTGGCTTTTGCTGGCCTATGGAATCATCGCTTTGGGCCATCACTATGCGTTTTTGTGCCTCATACCATTCCCTTCGATTTTTTATATTCTCACTGTGCGGTTTACGGATCCAGCTGAGTTCCGTGAGGTGGAAGTGCGACAAAATTAGTTTATATTTAGCAATATTTCTTTTAATATTTGTCCAAGTTATGTGGCAATTTATACATTTATGTATTTAAAAGTTAAATGTTAAATAGTTTGTATAAAAATAGCGTAAAGTATTTCAAAGTTTCTCAACTTCGATTTTTTCTCAACTTCCTCTTCCTTTGATTTCTATCTCATCTGAGGCACCCTGTACCAGAGCAAATTTCTCCATGTAACAAATTTGTCGTATATTTGGTATACCATTAATATAATTTTATACATAATCACATTTTTATAAACGGTTCAAAGTAATAAAAAGTTTAATGGATAATATGCTAATTTTATAAATGTAAGACTGTCGTCGCACTCTGTTAACACGTCTAAATACTTTTGCAACATTTGGCAACGCTGCACCCGTCAGACGAATATTTTCCGTAATTTCTCTTGCTCGAAGCAGTGATTTGGTGTGGTGCAGATATAGAACATTGCGATTTTTCGGTCATTTTTGACCAAGATAATCCCCAAAGGATATCATATTCGGTAATTTGTTTTGCAAAGTATTTGAAAAAAGTGAAAAATCTTAGTTTTCGATTAATTAACCAGTGGTGTTTTAAAGCTGAAATTTCATATCTTATCGGTGTCGGTGAATGGAAAAAATCCACTCAGATTCGGTTGAATGTGTGTGTAGGGTGTGCTCATTCTGATATTAAAGAAAAAGGGCGAAGCATATTTCAAAACTTTGTGCTGAAACGAGACA